AGTTGATGCTGACTGGGCATTGGTGGCGCACGCCCTTAATCCCAGCACTCAGGAGGCAGAGGCAGGCGGATCTCTGTGAATTCGAGGCCAGCCTGGTCTCCAGTGCGAGAGCCAGGATAGGCTCCAAAGCTACACAGAGAAACCAGAAAAAAAAAAAAAAAAAAAGAGTCGATGCTGATACAGTTTGGGTCTGAAAAGCCCATCCATCAAAGTCTTGTTTTCCACTATGGGGCTGCTGGGAGGTGACGGGACTTTTGAAAAAGTGGGCCTAGTGGAAGATCTCAGGTCACTGGAGAGGTATATGGTATATTCTTGACAACAAGTCTGAGACCCCAGGGTTCCCTCCCTTCCTTTCTCTCTCTGCTTCTTGACTGACAATAAGTGCTCTACCATACCACTATGACTATATGCCACACTGCTGCAAGCCCAGAAGCAACAGGGCCAATTGACCATGGACAGAAACTTCCAATCAAGCAACAGGGCCAATTGATCATGGACTGAAACTTCCAAAACTGTCAATCAAATAAGCCTTTCCTCTTTGGAGAGGGAGGGAATTGAGACAAAGTTTCACTCTGGTTCAAGTTGGCCAGGAACTTACTAGTAACAGTCCCTCTAACTATCTTGACCATTCTGTAAGAGTAACAAAAAGCAAAACCACAAGAAGCCAGAAAGAGGCACACAAAAAAACCCAAGGAGGTTTGGAAGGAACTTGGCCTCCCGCCTCTAGAACTGTGAGGCTCTTTCTGTTGTTTTTAGCTGCTTGGGATCAATACTGGTGCTACCCCCACTCAGTTCAGCCCCTGCTCAGCATGTCCTCCCAAACAATTCTTGAGTGGCTCAGACAGACACTCTAAAACATTTTCCTGAACATAGCCATCTCCAGCGGCTATGAAGTCTAAATGGCTTCACTCTCTAATCCCATACTCCATTTAAATGTGCCATGGGAAACTGATGTTTTTAAAGCCTGTATTCTGACTTGTGTACTGTAGAGCTCCGGCATCTATAGCCATCTTCTGATAAGGCTTTGTAGCAACTGTTCGAGATGGGACTGTTTGAAAGGAAGTAAAAGCACACACAAGTATACTTGCCTGCTTCAGAGCAACCACCTACCCAACACTCTGCCTCCTGCATTCTGTAAAGACCAAAGACAAACAAAAGCTTGTCCTAGGGCACCTCTGCAAGCCCCTAATCAACATGGGAATCCCTCTCAGACCACACTCACTACAGCCTGAACTTATGTCCATTTTCTTTAAACACACACACACACACACACACACACACACACACACACACACACACACACACGCACACCTTTGACTCTCCAGACCTGGAGGTTGAATACAGCTTTACTCCTGTAAATTATCCAGTCCACAGTGCAATTATAGCAACAAAAGTGACTGAGGCCCCTTCTTTTATTTAAGAAGTCAGTTTGTTGGTCAGCTTTCTGTTGCTCTAACAAGGAGCTGGGATCATCAGCTTAGAAAGAGAAACAGTGTATTTTGATTCCCTATTTTAGATGATTGGGGCCAGGAGATAACTTGAATTTGTTGCTTTTGGTCTGAACCAAGATAGAACCTAACAGCCCTCTCCTCACAGCAGACATGAAGCAAACAAACAAAACAAAAGGATACAGGAAGAGGGCTGAGATCACAGTATCTCCTTCAAGGACACAATTTCAATGAACTACCACCCACCAGTGCCCCCACGCCATGAAGGTTCTATGTGCTCCCCAAAGCACTAGTCTGCTGCTGGCCAGCCTTTACCACCCAGGTCTTGGGGGGGGCATTCGTCCAGAGTGTGGCAGCCAGTCATCATCGGGTTCATAAACCATGCATATGCCTGTCAAGGGAGTAGTGGCTGCACTCTGCTCTGTTACCCTCCTTCCAACAGAGACAGACCTGACGCTAGTTGCAGAGGATGTAACTTTAGGGAAGATCTCTACTCAACAAGAAAAAGAAGCACTGTAGTGGTAACAGTTCAAACCAAAGTGCTAACGAAGTCTGAGCTGGCTGTGTGAGATGTACTTGAAACATCACCTGGGCTGGATTTCAGGCAGCCAGACCCCACCTCTGCCCTGCAAATGCTCACTTTCTCATAAGCTGGAAAAGCCAACATAGCAAAATACAAAAGGTGTCTACATACAGTGTTCAATATAACCTTGTCCTAATAGCAGGCAGGGACCACCTGCTTACACTGAGTGCCTCAGATCTATGAAGGAGTTCCAAGTTCAGTGTCAGCATGACACAGACAGCAGATACACAACTGTGGGAATCCCAGCACAAAGGTGCATGCATTCTCTTTCCTACTCACGTGGGGTATCCCCGCACACCCTGGGCAGAGCACACATCGGAGTTGGCTGTGCAGTCCACTTTAGCCACATAGACCTTGGCATCCTCCATGCTGTTGTACTTGTCTCCCAGGTCATTCCAAGTTGGCTGTAGTCGCTGGCAGTGTCCACACCTACAGTGAGGTCAGAGGAAGAGCACATTGAGGTCCAGGTCCCAGGGTAGCCAGATTACTACCTCAGCCTTCTCCACCAAGCCATCAACTCTCTATCCTTGCTTTTCCTAAACTGCAACAGGATAGCTCACAATGACATCATTCTCCACGTTTATCAAAATTTTGCAGGCTACTGTCCTAGCATTCTTTTTTGATCACTATGTCCAGACCCTATCTCCTTGACTTCCAGCTGGTCTGTGGGTTCAACTGCAGTATTTCAGTTTCCTGAAAATCATAACCTTGCTGTGCCCCTGAAGCTCCAGGTATACATACACCCTACCAAGAATTGCCCTAAACTCCACCAGGATGAGTACTGTTTGCCCTTCAGATTCAGTTTGTGCATCACTTCCTCCAGGAAGTTTTCCTTGGCTCTCAGGCCACTTGTCATCCACTCTCTTCTCTTCCTCCTTTTCTGGAAGTTTCCCTGCTCTCTCAACCAGCTTAATACTCTGCTGTAACTGCTCCATTATTTACAAGGACAGGTCTCTTCTACTGCACAACCAAATGTACACAAATGCAAGGAGATCTCAAGATTAATCAACTCGGCCTCTGCACCTTCTCCAATCAGAAGCCTTAAAATAAATACATTTAAAACTTTAAATGTATTTAGACAGGTCTTGGGTATCCAATGGCTTTGAGCCTACTATGTATCTGAGATAACCTTGAACTTCTGCCTTTCTTACCTTCACCTTCCAAGCACTGGGACTGTAAGTGTGCACAACCACCCTCAGCTTAATGAGGTGCTGGAGCTCAAACCAGGGCTTTGTGCATGCTAGGTAAGCTACATCTCTAGCCCTTCAAATAACTAAAGTTGGTAGAATCAAACATTTGCTATTGACTGTGTGCATTTAGATATACACAAATATTTTAAAATCACCTATCATTTAACACTACTAGCAAGGATGTGGCTTCTTGCCCCTCTTCACACTGTGCAGCATCAGGATCTCTCTTGTAACAGGACATGAATGGCAGTACAGACCTGATGACCTCATCTTTCATTCTCATCTGTATGCAGTACCACAAATGAGTTTTGAATGAGTGCAACCACACAGCATTAAGGCACAGGGCTGTTTTTTCTTTCTTATCTAATAAACAAGTGATTTGTCTGTCTAACATAACTACTTGCTGTATTGCCTTCTGAAAGGATCCTTTAGAAAAATGCTTACTTACAAGAGTGACAGGCACCGATAATTGATATTGACTCAATAATGTCTCAATAAAATCTGTGGCACGTCTCTTTTTTGATAGAAGACCTGACCTTCAAAACAGACATCTAACGGTAGTCCCGAAAAGTTGGCTTCAAGCTAGGACTTCCTTGGGCAGCCAAGACAAAGCCCTGCTTTCAGAAGACCCTAATCTAATAGAACTGGAGGGAGTTCAGTAGTTAAGAGCACTGGTTGCTCTTTCAGGGGACCCAGTACCCACACTAGGCAGATCAAAACTGCCTCTAGCTCTGGTTCCATGGAATCTGACACCTCTTCAGGCCTCCTTGGGGACACACACATAGCACACAAACCCACAGAGATATACACATGCACATAAATAAAAATAAAATATAAAAACAAATAAAAGCAATACAATATCATTCTCTTTTTCTGGAAGATCATGGGTATTCTTTTTATGTATTCAGTGTAAGTGCCAAGAAAGTCAGCACAGTCCTGTCCAAATACTTGGTGTGCACTAAGTGGTTGGCAATTTAAGCAGAATGAATGGATGGGGTAAAAATCTACACAGTGAAACTGTCTTTGAGGATTTAGCTTCTGTGAATTCAGCAAAGTTAATTCAGCAAGGTGGTGGATTGCAGAAGAAAGGAGAGCAGGGAAGGGGGAGTGGGGGAGCCAAGACCTAAGGACTCTTTAAGTGTGTACACAATGGGGTGCGTGGCCTTTCTCTTCCCCAGCTGGCCCATGTTCCTGTTTGCTCCTCGTGGCATCTGGTGCTTAATCAAAGAAAGCAGGATTGATTCTAAAGGTGGAGCAGAACCCAGTTATAAGATGTTGCTGGGTAACTGAAGGGTGACTGCCTTCAGGTGGCTACCACAAGGGATTTTCAAAGGCGGTTCTGATGTTAGATGAATCTGATCTCGTTTTAGAACCAGATGCATCCTCTGAATCCTTGAAAAGGTTCTTATGACAATACAAGATCTAAAATGAGGCTAAAGATTTAGTTCTCTGCACCCCAAATTAAACTGACCATCTGGGGTCATCACCAAGCAGGCACGCCCCTCTGCACCCAGGAGCATCTATGAATCCACTGCTTCTATCTAGCTGGCATTTCTGTTTTGGAGCCCTTGTGGTTACAACACTATTAAGACAGCCAGCTGCATTTAGAAGGTGGCCTGGGGCCAAGTGACAGCAAAGGCACCTAACCTTAATCTTGACCTTACTGTCCCTAGGTTCAGCGTGACCCACAAACTGGCACTACGGGCACTGTGATCTGATGCTGGCACAAAATCAACAGCAGGACAATCCTGCAGTCACCAAGCTTAGAACAAACAGACACAGGTCAATGTTTTCATTACATGGTGTCCTTGCCCCGAATAGCATGTGTAGGCATCTAACATTCTAGGCACTCAAACTGAGAAAGAAGTGGGGATGGGACCCAGTGTATTCTATCTTGAACTTCATACTGTTCTTAAGTCTTATTTTAAAATCTTAGCACTCCATAGGCTAAGACAAAAAGATCATGAGTTCAAGGTCAACTCGGCCACACAGAGAGATCCTGCCTCAATTTCCCTTTAAAACCACAAAAATCTGGCTTTCAAAGGCCATGGTGGGCACCTACGTATCTCTAATGTTTTTAGCAGAGTAGTAAGAAGCAAACAACTAAAGGCTCACTTTAGGGAGCAGCATTTACCTGAATACAGTGAAAAAAGAATTTGTGTGATACCTATTACCCTGACTGACAAAGACTAGCTGGTTATTTACTGGAAATATTCCACAATTAAAACTCCATCAGCACTGCAGAGAACCCATTTCTATCTACATGTCAATTTTCCTTATAAAACTAAAAGCCCATAGGTTTATTCCACTGTGTCCTGTGGTGTGCTTAATTGGAGTCACTATTCTGAGAATACTGGTGCAGAGTAACTATTAACACCCACTGACTGTTGCAGACTAGCAGAACTTTCTTTCATTGGTAGTGCTACAGATTCAAGCCAGCTGTTCTCGGGAACGTGAAACAATGTATTCCATTTGCGCATTCTTAACAGATACTGGCTGTGAGCCAAAGTGACCCTTAAAAGTTAATGCAACCCTAAATGAATTGAAATGCAGAAACAACGCACTATAGGGATAAAAGGAAAGTTTCTCCCACTATGGAAGGCACAATCACTGAGTAAGTTGGATTCCACAGATACATTGTTCTTAACCAGTTAACCCCCTTTCTTAACCAGTCCCTACCAAGCCAGGGAAAGAGTACTTAGCTCAGCAATAAACACAGCTGACACATGCCCACATCTCCAGCGGCCTGCGCTCTAAACGCTGCTTTCTGCTCTGGACCAGAAAGAACTTCCTTCTCCGAGCATCTAGGCCCCAGCAGGAAAGCACTGCTACGTCTAGAACACTTCCTGAGGTACAGCTCTCTTGAGAAGCAGCCGGGGTGCAATATGAAGCCCCGACCGGAGAATGGAAGCATGAAGGTGTATGACTTTTAAAAACAAAAACAAAAAAACTGTTCCACCTCACGCCTTCCAACTGACCCTGACCGGGGCCCCAAACGAGCACAGAATAGAGGTGCCAGAAGACAGCCTTGAGTTAAAGGCCTTGAGAGTACATATCCACTCCTGTGTGCAGCGGGGACTCCAGCACCCGCACTACTCCGGGATCCCAAGGGTCAAGGAACCCCCCACTCCTCTACCTAGGCTATCCCTTCCCACCCTCAACACACAGAGTGGGAAATCACATTTCGGGAGGGCCGTAAGATTTTTTTCAATCCAACCCAATATTGAAGCGCCGGCAGGGAGGACCCTCCAGGCTGGGGCACGTGGTCGCCGGGCTCCGGCCGCGTCCGGCCAGCACAGGAAGTTTGGGGAGCTGGGCAGAGGACTTGTGTGTGTACATGTGAGTGTGTGTGTGTGTGTGTGTGTGTGTGTGTGTGGAAGGGGGGGTGGACTCCAACACCGCGGCGGGGCGGAGAGGCCTTTCCGGGTCTCCCCTGGGGGCCCGCCCTTCCTCGCGCTTGGCCCGGCGGCTAGCGCCACGTCAGCGGCCAGGCCGGAGCTCCGCGGCCCACGCCCCCCGCCACCCCGCACAACCCGCGCGGCCCCGCGCCCTCCCGTGACCCCCCCGGCCCGGGCCCCGCCGGCCTGCCGGAGCTGCTGCAGTTACCAGGGCGCGAAGAACATGACGAAGTGCGCGGCGCTTTGGATCCCGTGCGTGAACATGTCGGCCGTGTACAGGTGCTTGGCGTGCGGGTCCTGCTCGGCTCCGCCGTCCGCCGCCGCCTCCTGGGCCCGGGCTCCCCTGCGGGAGCCGATCAGCAGGAGGAGCGCGGCCAGGGCCGGCAGCCCGGCCAGCGACGGGAGGAGGCGTCCTGGGCGCGGGGGCATCGCGGCGGGGCTGGCGCGCTCTCCGCCGGGCCGCGGGTCCCCTCCGCGGCGCCGCCTCCCGCCCCCCGCTCCTCCCACGAGCGCATAGCCACGCCCACATCTCCCCAAAGCCCCGCCTTAGCCACGCCCCCACCCGCAGAGGCACGCCCCACGGCCTGACAGACCTCCGGGGGCAACTTGCTTCGTTCTGCTGAAAGCAGCCAGGAAGAAGTCGCTCAGGTCCTGGGGTCCTTCGTGCAGCATCTCCAGCGCTTTCCCAATCCGGTTCCGGTCCATCTTCGCCGAGCTCCTCCACATTCCCAATCCCTTCAGCAGCCTTTTCCTTTCGTTTCCCTGTTGGGAACGAAAAGGCCAAGCAGTGAAGGCACGGGGCAGCGGGCAGCCTCTGCTCATCTCATCACATGCCAAGACCCCGAAATTTCAGGACCAAGTTGAGCTGCTGTCAGCAGAAAGGAGGGAAAGGGGCAAAAGTGGGTGGGGTTTCACTCGCATGAGTTAGCCAGAGCTGAACTGTGATTTGAGGTCCTGGCCTCGGGGGTGTGATGAAACCACTTCCGAAGAGCACCTCCTCTGTTATTCGTCCCTGCCTTCGCTTAGGGAGAAAGGGAAAGGGAGTCAAAGCTGCTCCTTCTTCCTGCTCGGGCTGGTGCCCTATGTGTCCTAACTCACCGTGGTTACAAAACTGAATGCCAACAGCTCCTCTGGCTGAACTGGCCTTATGATGGCTGAGAGTCATTGCCTGGGCTGAGGTGTAACTCACGCCAACACTCGAATCTCTTGGCAGGTGGCAATCCAAGCTCCCAGCCCTGCCTTGAGAACCTGAAGTTAAACCAGGGAGAGTGAAACAACCAATATGAACACTTCAGAGTGTTCCCAGCGCTATGCTCTATGTAGATGAAAAAAAAAAAAAACTGACACTATAAGAAGTGCAAATGGTGATCTTTTATTGGGACCTTTCAGCAGCATTTCTTAGAACCACCTGATCCTTTATTAGTCTCAACTTCCATAAACTGAAAGCCTTAATTCCTGGGTTAGCAACAGGGGAAACTGGCATCATCTGTAACTATTCTCCTTATCGCAGACTGAGCCACCTGTAAATGTTTAACCATGGTTTGCCAAACACCGAACTTCCAAAACCCGTTCTTTCAGACCTTACAGGCAGCATCTCTTGCTTGCTCCCTCTCTTCCTCTGCTAAGTAGGAAGTTTCAAACAAACGCTTCTTCCCACTCTCCTGACCTGAACAGATCTGAACTTGCCTGTGACAGGAACATTCCTTTGCTCACACGAGTTTGACTATGGTAGTTTGCTGCTCAAACTTGGACCAGCACGTCATCCCTGCCCGGTGGCCTTGGCATATAGACTAAAATGGAAATCCCTTGGTTTGCTGTTCAAGGCTTCCTGTGGTGTACTTCCATCATGCCTTGTGTCTGTGAAACTTACTGGTGGCTAAAAATCCAACAGTTCTGTCTAGTAATCTTTGATGGTCAGGCTCGGAGCTTTATGCTCCTCAATACTTCAAACCTCTCAAACCCCCGCCCTGTGCTGCTGAGAAACCCCAACAAGATCATCATACACTCTGTTTATAATACCAACTCCTACTCCTTTTTCATCTGCATAGATCAGTGGTTCTCAATCTGTGGGTCGTGAACCCTTTGGGGGTTGCATATCAAATATCCCGCACATATTTACATTACAATTCATAGTAGTAGCAAAACTAGTTACGAAGTAGCAACAAAAATAATTTATGGTCACCAGAACATGAGGAATTGTATTAAAGGGTCATCGCATTAGAAGGATGAGAATCACTGGCAGAAAGCCTAGCTCTGGGAGCCCTCTCAAGCGTTGACTGCTGGTTGTTTCAAGCCTGAGTCTTGGAGTTGAGAAGGAAGGCAAATGCCTTCCTTTATGGAAGTGCTCCCTTCTGTCTACAGAATTTCAACTCCAATTATATTGATCCTACTGAGTATGGTGCCATCTGCCCTTCTAGCTTCTGCCATTCTTCCAGGACACTCCCTTTATTTCACTGAAGACTGTGGTCCCTTCCAGCTGACAGATTTTCTAACCACTCCTTCCTGTCTTCATTCCTGGTGACTTCAGCATCTGGGTGGCTAGCACATTGACATTTTCTTCTGTAACTCCCTCATAAAAGGAAATCTAGACTGTTCACTGTTTCTAATAACTGAGTGAAGATGCTACGGTAGGGGTCTTGAATGTCCTCTGTGTGCTCCGTGTGTTGGAGATCCACAGTGGTGCTAGGGGAAGGCGGTGGCACTTTAAGAGGTGGCAGTGGG